CATCATTTTTATATTTAGTAAATTTTCACTTTTATTCTCCTTTCCATATTAAAAATTAATTTTCTCACTTTCAACTTTCCCTTCTGCTGTTCCTTCTACTTCGTTTCCTTTCCATTTTGCTTTCGGGTTTCGTTTCTATTTTTTTTCCTTTCCCTCGTCGTTATCTTTTATTTCTCTTTTGATTTTAATTTTAATTATTCTCCTCCTTTCCTTTAATTTCCCTTCTCCATTTCCTTTTCCTTTTCCTTATCCTTATCCTTTTCCTTTTCCTTTTCCGGTTCATTTTCCTTTTTCTTTTCCTTTTCCTTTTCCGGTTCCTTTTCCTTTTCCTTTTCCTTTTCATTTTCCTTTTCTTTTTCCTTTTCCTTTTCCTTTTCATTTTCCTTTTCCTTTTCCTTTTCCATTTCCGTTTCCATTTCAGTTTCCTCCTATTTTTGTGCAAATAGATATTTTATAATTTTTTCGCGAACTCATTTTAATTAAAATTAATTATGTCTTAACTTTATTTATCAGCTCCATAAATCCCTCAGTGCAATTAAATCTCTCGCTTACCACTGCTCACCATTACCAACTCAATAAAGTTCGCAACGTAAGTCTTTCGTCCTTCAAACAGGTGCTTCATTTTTCCAATTAAATTTACACCACAGCAAATCAAGTGAACAACGCCATAACGTCATCATCAACAGCAGATTTAGACAACAACAACACTCAGAACATGACACTAATAGTAATGAAAAAAAAAAAATATCAAAAGAAAAAGAAAAAAGTAGGGAACAGCAAGAGCAAAAACTGCGCAAGAATAGAAGACATTGAAGGGCCAAGCTTCAGTGGCAACCATATTACAACTTGATTAAAAGAGTCTGGCGCATAATTAACACCATTGCAGTGTACAGAAGCTGGAGCTGTTGCTAAAGCTGAAGCGGCATGCAGGAATAACAGGAGTAAGCCAACAGCAATACAAGCGCCACCAACGCCTTCAGGTGTAGCGCAACAGAGAGTAGTAGTACACGGCAACAGTATAAGCAGTAACTAACCACAGCCGCAATCAACCTAGAGTTGAATAGGGCTCAAGCCCGTTGGCTGATTTCATTGGAATTACCAACAGCAATCAAAGGACAACAATTACATGGTAAGAGTGATGTTCAGTAGAGTGAAAAAAACAAAGAAATAAATAAAAATAAAAACACACGGGTGGTATGTAATCAATCAAATCAATAAATTTTAGATTACTAAAATGTTGTTTTAAAAAATTCTGTTAAAAATTCTATGAAATTATAATATTTCTCTCAGTGCACTCTAGAAATTAGCATTACATCGTGATTACACTATTCGCATGCAAAGAGCGTATCAGCAAAACCACTGACACTGCATCAGCGGCTATCCTGCCAGCCTACCAACTTACTGGCCTACCAATCTAGGTATCCATATACTTATTTACATATTTACTCCTCCTATCAAATGCTCTCGTGTGTAATTTAATAATTGCGGTTTGCTGTTGAGCTGGGACATGCGCAAATTGACTCCCTACACATTGCTTTATTCACGCTGAAGTAACGTGCGAACAGGAGCAACATAAAGTGCGATCACTCAGAAGCACAGCAGCGTCAGCAGCAGTACAGAAGCTGAAATTGACATGTGAATTTTGTTTCCCTTTGATTTAACTTTTGGTCAGGCAATCAGTTGTGTCTCCAGTAAGTTAGTCAAGGTGTTCGATGTAAAGTAGCTGCAACGCTTAGTCGCCAGCAAATTACCGATACCGAACAGCTGACGCGTGCATACGATTTTTTGTCTGCCAAACGCATGCGCCATGTAAAGGAGAAGGCTGCCAAAGCGGTGCATATGTATGTGTGGAGTAGTTAGTTGTGCAAAGGATGTAGGCTTGCATTACAAAGCGCGCGCTTGCTGCTACTTGCTTACATGTATGCATTTGAGGATATGTGTGTTCGCCTAGTTACTCAAAATTTATCTCATGCATGTAAACTAATATAAATAATTATAAATAATTATTATGCATGCAATGTATGTAGTATAAATAAAATTCATTCATAATGGGAATATTTACATGAAGAAGTTGAAGGCGTGAGTGGACATTCAATTCAAGAAAGGAAGAATTTATGTAAATATGGGCAAGAGAAATGCATTAAGCTTAACTTTTTCTTGCCTTCGTGCTAGCATTGCTGAAACTAAATACCTTACCACATATACATTTTGGAATAGAGCGAAGAAACGTGTAATTTTTTTAGTTGTTTCCAAAATTGTTGCGCAGCTTTAAAAATTTGTCTCACTTGAGAGAGAGTGAGAAGTCTTTTTACTATAAGAAGGAGATTTTTCTTTATTTAAGATTAAGTGCTCGTTTTGAAAACATACATACGAATTGTAAAAATTCTTCATACAAAAAAAAAATAAAACTTTCTGAACATCTTATAGACCCCTACAAATGCGTTTGGTCTACAATTCTTTATACGTCGGGATTTGAAAACCGCTAGGTCCAGAAAACTTGCTAGGCAGAGTTTTGTGACTTTGTTAGAATACGGCTGTAAGGCTAAGTTCAGCTAGAAGATGCGGAGTTGAAGTTGAACCTGTCAGTAATGTAACCACAAAGTTTATAAAAAGCATTTCCTTGCGACTCACAAGGAAACTAATAAGTTTTAAACGACTCGTATAAGGTGGAAGATAATATTAAGAACATCTAACCGTATTCCAAAGAATCCATTTAACTAATACAGTAAACAGGGTTCTTGGATCATCATTTCAAAAATGCAAGTACAACTTTATCGTTCTGAAATGTGACATTAAAGTGAAGATCAAAATTAAGTTTACCTGTTCTAGGTTTTGGTTATAATTTGTATAAGAAATAGGCTGAACAACTCTTCGCGAAAAGCCCATTACTTTAAATTTTTTTAAGATTTGGAGGCATAACAACTACTTTACGCCAACCATGCTAATTAAGCCTGTTTGTAGCAAATACTTTTATTTAGTTGAAACGTACGTACGATTTTTTTTACAATTTAATATTTGTAGAAATGTCGTTTATAAAAAGCGAGAACAGAAGTGGGCCTGTGTAGCCTTGAGGAACTCCTGAAGTAACATCTATGACTTCCGAATAATATTTTTAAGCAATACTCTTTGTGATCTATCATGGAGATATGAAGAGAATAAATAGAAAAAGCCAGTATATTTAATTTTATTCTTTAAAGGAAGGTTAAAATGTACGTAAAGATACCGTAAAATTTAGAAGAAATTTTGACTAATTTGAAAGTACTGAAAAAATTTCAAATATAGAACTAAGTATGTGTGAGACTGTAAGCAGATATTCGATTTAAAAGAAATTTTGAGTAAACTGAAAGTACTGAACAAATTTCAAATACAAAACTAAGTATGTGTGAGACTGTAAGCAGATATTCGCAAACAGCCAAACACAGGAGACGTTCTCGGCTTAATCCCACTCGATGCTACTTCTTAGCCTGTTTGCATTCCGCTATTGATAGGCATCTTAATAGGAAACGGATCTGGAAAAAGAGTCTATTTAATTTAGGTTCCTGCTTACAGTGTCTGCAAGATCAGTGAGGAAGCTGACATTATAGTCAAAAATGGGATAGATCGAGGACTTACAGGCCACAAACACTTCCCTGTTTCATCCAAAAAGGTAAACTATTAAAAATATAAGAGCTAATGAAGAGGCTCAAAATTACTGAAGACACCCAATAAATATTAGACAGATCAAAGATTTCATTACAAAAATACCTAAATATATATAAATTATATTCTTAGAGAAGGGCTGTATAGAAACAGCTACTATTTTTTTTCATTAAAACATTTTTAAGAAACTGAAAAATTACTCTATCGAGGGCTAAGTGAATGATTGACCTATCACGACAGTCAGTTAAAACACGCCCTATCTCAGAAAACTTTTATTGAATAACCCCCTATCTCAAACGAAAATACATTGAAATAAGCTGAGATAGTGGGTTTTTGAATCGGCAGCTGAGATAGAGCATTCTTAAACCAAGTTCTGAGAGAGGGAGTTCTATATAGGTTGATCTTCCACCCACTCATCGATATAATCTACATAGAAGAAACCGTTTATTTAATTCACTTAGCTTGGTGTTTCCATAAAATGAGTCGTTGAAACCTATCAGTACATTACTATAAATTACCTCTGATTGATGCTCGCTGGCTTAAAAAGTATACATTTACATACACACGTAGATATTTTTGTATTTTGGAAACATTCGCTTACCTACAAAATAAGAAAAGAGAAAAAAGTTAAAAATTACATATGTACTAGTTAACTGAAAATAAATAATTATCTATAATAAATATTATGAACTTTGTAGATAAGACGAATTTTCCTCTATATGATTTACTTAAGTAAAATAAATACAAAAACATTCACCGCAAATATGTATGAATGTGATAAAAAACCATAGAAGAAAACCCGCCGCCATTACGGAAGCGGTTATAACGTAATTATAATGACAGTAAAAGTCAAAGAACTGTTGAGCTATCAAAGCGGAATTCTTCATCGTGAACTACGCAAACATACAAAAAAACTGAAGAAAGCAACTGCATTTTGTGGCATCCATTGATGGTTTGGAATGCTAATAATCACACAATGTTCAAGACATACTAGCGCATATCAAGCGAAAGAGAGAAAAAAAAGAAGCGAAAGAAATGACAGTAACAGAAAGGAAATATAAATTTATGGGTAACAAAAGTACAAACAAATATAGATAAAGTACAAATGAAAATAAAATAAAAGTAACAAAAAACAAAAAGAAGATCACGGCTTTGATATTCACAATTCAGATCATCATTGGCGGCAAAATATTTGTTGCCACAGAGAAGCCATGCGCAGAGGCACTGGAAAGCAAAGATGCTTCTCGCTGATGCTGTCAGTAAGCAATACTCACATACATACATATACATATTTATGCACAATCTAATCTACGATTGCGCTGACGAGTTTTTGCGGTTGCGGCGCTTATGCCGCTAACCAAATGTTGCATGGAACTGCTATAGAGCTAAGAAATTGGTTGAAAGAGTTATGTAAGGTTTATATAGAGGAATGTAGGTATTACTCGGTAGGTAAAGGTATTAGTAATGGTAATGGTTATGGTATTGGTAATGGTAATGGTAATTGTAATAGTAATGGTGATGGTAATAGTAGTGGTAATGGGAATGGTAATGGAAATGGTAATGGAAATGATCATTGTAATGGTAATTATAATTGTAATGGTATAGGTAATAGTAGTTGTAATAGTAACGGTAATGGTAATGCTAATGGAAATGGAAATGATAATTGTAATGGTAATTTTAATGGCAGTGGTGATGGTAATTTTAGTGCTAATGGTAATGGCAATAGTAATTGTAATGGTAATGCCAATAGTAATGGTAATGGAAACGGTAATTTTACTCCTAATTGTTTGTATTTACAACAGTTATCTCTAGGTATAAAGTACCTGTTTAAGTAAAAATATTTAATTTTTCCAAATTACTATAGTCTGATTCCAAACTTGGCTTAAAAACAAAAAAGTTCAGTCTGTTTTGCCATTTGAAAGTTCTTTAACGGAATAGCAAATCGTATGCAAACCCGTTCGCTAGCCAAAAAAAAAAAATTCACTTCACTTCAAACTGCCTTTCCCATACAAATGTTTGAACATTCTAAAACCAAAGACTTAAGCAACAAACTTGTATGCGCTCCTAGTACACTTTGTGGCCAATATTTAGTATTATCGCGAGACGGCAAAAGTAGTGCAACAGCATTTGGTCATTTGGCCGCGGCCATCACAACGGCAATCGCCGCCACGACCACTACATGACATAATCAGGGTGGGCGAACTCTTTGCATTTTAAGTGCGATCGGTTAGATGCAAAAAGTTAGATGCAAAAGCGAGCAGTACAAAAACGAATTGACATACGGATAGACAGACGAACGAACAGTGAGACATGCAGTAAGCGATAGACAACAGCAAGCAGGCCAATGTGCGCTTACTGACGCACTGACTGACTGAATGGTTGACTTACTGACTGACTCAAAGTATTAAATATAAACGATAGGCTATTCAGTAGGCGAATGTTGGACGAAAGCAGCACGAACGGGGAGAGTTGTGCCATAGGATCTTAAGCGGCTTAGAAAAATCAATGTCGCAAAAAAGAACAAAGTGTGGTTGAAATACAAATGTGAATAAATTGAAAAAACAAGCTGTTCAAGCCAATAAAGTCTGTCGCGAAATGATCGCAGACACCGTTAATTGGTCGATAGTTTGGCAAAATGCTTGCAGGCACACAAATGCCACGTATATACATACATATTGGCAGGCATGAGTATGCGTATTTATGTGTGTGTGTGTGTGTGCACGGGAAAACAGTCAAATTAACGAGCATGTAACGAGTATGTAAGCAATAACCAATAACCAGTTGCAAACTGGTAACAATGAACAGTTATTGTAAGCTGACGTATTGACCGGCCAACTCGCGCGGCAAGCAGCAACGAGGTGGAAGTCAACGACTAATAGGACGCCGTGCACAAGCACACAAACGCTATCGTTGGCTATAAGTAATGGCTGGGAATGCGGGAAAATCTGTGGCACTGCCACATTACAGTTGCCGTTGCACAGTTCAGCCAATTTGTGTTGCACTAAATGTGACTCATAAATTTTGCCTGGCATGTTGCATTGTTGGTGCATTTTAATTTTTTTGTTTGTTAACTATTTTTGGTCTTTCCATTTTATTTTCTCAGTTCTGTGCGCTTGCTTGCTGCAATCCGTCAGACGGACTCGTTTATAAGCGCCGGATTACTTATAACGTGTAGCGCTAAAGTGGCTTAAATAAAGTAAAGATTGTAAAAGTTGCAAAGCTGCAAACACAAAAGACAGCAAATATAAATAAATAAATAAACAAAATAAGATTACGTAAAACGCAAAGTTGTTGGCAAAAAATCGCGAATTAAGCGCTTTTTAAGTGGCGGCTCAAAATTCAGGGTCTTTTGGGTGCATACAAAAGACTCTGTGAAAAAAATTGCGAAAAAAAAATATGGACAAGTTGTGAACAAAAATATTTTTTTTTTACGCAAAAGTAGTAGTGTAAGTTTTTGAGAGATCAACAGAGATGCGCAGCAATTCGGTTTTCTGCAAACGTGTATGGGTAGCTGAAGCATTAGTTTTTAGACCGGAAAAAATGTTTAAAATAGTTCTTTAATTTGAGCAATTAATTCAGAAAAATATGCATGTAGTGAAGAGATTTACAAAAATTTTAACAACCAACAAAGGCTCGAAAATTACAGCCAATTAGCATTTGGTATAATGCAAGGGCATGTGTAAAAATAAAATCTTATTTCTCTATGTGAATGGAGTAAAATCTCCACTTGGTTTTTGCATTGCTCTGATAGTGCCAGCGGGTTCTGAATTGAATAATTACAGAGCTCATTAAAGCGTAGTTGAGCTTAACCAGAATAAACACATTAAAATTTGGGAAATACGAAGGGTATTTCATTCTGCAAATGTTTATTTAAATTGTTTTAAATTTTAAGAAGATGGCATTGCCTTCGAAACAGTAAAAAGATTTCTAAACATCCTTTATTTGACATCAATATTACAATATATCATTAAATTGACTTTAATATTTAAACAGCTGGTAGAGGTTTTCAAAATATTTAAAAAATTAATTTTTTTCAACCTGTTTCGTTTCACAGCCACTCTAAAACATTTTAGCTTTCTCGTTATTTAAATTGAGCCCTACTCAAAATCATTACCGAAATAAAACTTTCTTAAACCTCACTCGCTGGACATCCATATCAAAACGTTTCATTTAAATTGCTTGTTAAATTGATTTTGAATTTCCAAACAGGTGGCAACCCACTTTGAAAATATTTTAGAAGTAAAGATTTCTTAAATAATTCTCTTTGGTATCCATATCAAAATAATTTATTAAAATTGAGTTTAATTTTTTGAACAGGTGGCAGCCGTTTTAAATTTGTTTTCGAAATAATATTTCGTTAAAACCCATATCAAAATATTTCAACTAACATTGATAATTGAATATAAATTTCTTAACAGGTGGCAACCCATCTCGAAAATATTTTCGAAATAAAGTTTGTGCCATCTCAAGATATTTTATTTAACTTGTTATTTTAATTGATTTAATATGTTTACCAGGTGGCAGCCCTTGTTAAAAATATTGTCGAAATAAAACTCTCCCGTTGGATACCCATAATAAAATATTTTGAATTAATTTGTTAACTATATTGATATTGAATTTCTAGAGCTTTCTCAGACCCCCCTCGTATCATACCTTTATGAAAATAATTTCTTTAACTTGTTATCTAATTAGATTTAACCTATTTTGAATAGGTGGCAACCCTCTTAAAATTAAGTTTCAAATAAAACGTCTTTCCATTGAGAACCGCATTGTTATGATATTTTGTTTAGCTTATTAAATAATTGACTTTAAATTGTTCAACAGGTGGCAACCCTGTTAAAAACTATTTTCAAAATAAATCGTTGTTGCCCCTTTCGTTTTTGTAACATTTTATTTAACTTATTAATTAATTGATTTTAACTTTTGAAAAAGGTGGAAACTCCCTTCAAAAATATTCTATATATATGCATGTTAATCCAGGTTAGTCTATTTGTGTACCAAATTTCATTGAAATATATACACTGGCATGTCAAAAGTGCATGAATGGTGTTTTATTTCAAGCTAAGTTTTTTTTTTATTTTTATAAAAATTTGAACTTTTTTTTGTTGACGGGGTTTTGCACTTTTTTCCATATAAACGTGAATTTCTTGTGGAAGAATATGAGCGCTTGCGAAAAAAATTAAAAAAAAAAATTATTGCGAGTTTTCCTAAATTTGTCTATATGAAAAAAACGCCAAAGGTCGCAATTAAAAAAAAAAAATTTAATTAAAACTCAATGCGATTTTTTAGCTGCTCAGAACTTGCAGTTATTTTACTAAACTTGTATAACTTTTGTTACTGCACGCCCTTACCACCCTCTAAGGAAGTACCTATTCCAATATTTTGCTCCATTCGTGACAAGCAAGTAAGCAGTGACAATGATTTCGAAGGCATTCTTTCACCCAAAGGAATGAAATTACTTGATAAGGCATCTCGAATTATCCAATAAATTTTAGGCTTTTAGATTGAAAGAAAAGGTTGTTGGCGTCAGGTAAAAGAAAGTGATGTTTTAAAAGACAGCAGGGCTTCACATTTTTTTGTGGCAAGCTTATCGTTCAAAAGTTGTATATAGCTTGTCAAATATATTTGCCAAAGCACCTCAAACTTGTAAAAATTAAAAAAAAAGAACAAACAATTACAAATTTCGGTTTCATGATATATAAACAAAAAAGATTGGTATGGATTTTAAAAAGTTATTCTGGTACCATATTTGTTAACTCAAAGTTTTGGGAGAAACGAGATTTAGCTACAACTAACTAAAATTTGAAAAGAGTATAAGAAAGAGACACAGAAAGGGTTGATAATTATGAAGTAAAAATGGAAGATAAAGCCAAACAACGAGGTCCCTAAAAGTTATTAAATTTTATTTATTTTGAAATACATTTTTTTAAGTAGTTCAAAGTCATTAAAAAGAACTTTAAGCGCTTAACTTCTCAGCAACTAAAATTTATTTTCAATGCAAACAGCTTATGGCAAATTTATTGGTCACCAAATCAATATCAAGTTTTTATGGTTTAATTTAAAAAATTTCCAGTTATTTTCCCCTTGTCAAAGCAAATGGTTGGTCGTAAAGGACCCTACCAGTATTATAGTCAAGCTAAATGACTGAGAAATAAATAATATAAAAAAAACTTTTTAATATACAACGCTTTTATAAAAAAAGAAAATAATACTTCTCAGTCCCATAGAATTTGTTTTGATAACTTTTGATTTTGAAATTTTAGCAAAAGTCATTATAAACAATCTATGAAATTGAAAATGAAAAACGTGGAGCGCATGCAATACAAAGCATTCGATTTAATTGACAATAGTCAAACTACATAACGTAGACCTAAAATTTCTACAGCGAAAGTAGAACTGTGAAATCGATTTTAAGCGGTCGTTATTCATATACCCACATACATACATTCATATATTACTTTCCATATCAATTCAAGTGTATTACATGCGCTCCACGCTTTTCATTTTCAATTTCATAGATTGCTTATAATGACTTTTGCTAAAATTTCAAAATCAAAAGTTATCAAAACAAATTCTATGGGACTGAGAAGTACTATTTTCTACTTTTTAGTCCATTTATAAAAGTGTTGTATATTAAAAAGTTTTTTTTATATTATTTATTTTCTACTTTTT